CTGAAATATTTAAATACAATGATGATGATTATAAAACATTATATTCTTGCATTCTTGTCAATAAACAATGGCACAATCTCAATATTCCAATTTTATGGAAAAATCCATTTTATTCTAAAAACAGTCTCATAATAATAATTAATTGTTTGTCAGAAGAAGATAAGGATTTCTTAACAAGAAATAGCATTGAATTGGCTTTTAAGCTATTGAATAAGCCACCATTATATAATTATGCTAAATTTTGTACTATATTTTATTTCAATTATAGTTATATTCACTTGTTGAGAAACAATTCCAAATTAGAAATTTTAAAAAATAGACTAGCAAATTTTATTTTAGATTCAGCAGTTATTAGAAAAATTTGCATTTTTTATTGCAATACAACCTCTTATCTGGTAAACAATTTTAAATTTGATAATAGTTTTCAGAATCTTAATGAATTAATTTGTTATGGTAATGATCTTGCTAGTAATGAATTAATTGATAAGTTAGCAAATATTTGCAAACATATTCAATCATTAAGTATAAATGGTAGATACAACAATAAATTTGAAGATAGTCTGGCTCAACTAATCAAAGCACAAGATCAAATAAAGCAATTAACCATTTATTTTAGTTTAAACCTTGATTTATCAGATAATTTCAAAAAAGCAATTCTCACACATTCTCAATCAATAATTTATTATTCAAGTATTGGATTAAACAATTTAGATCATATATTATTACCAGCACTTAAAAATTTGAAGACTTTAAAATTAAAATTATATTCTGCCAATCCTCGTTATGGTGACAGAATAAAATGGTTGAGAAATATTTCACAGCCAAACATTGAATCTGTGATGTTAGACATTTATGGGCAACCATTTATATCAGCCCTGTCAGACTTTATTAGCATCAATGGAAAAACTATTAAATATCTGAACATTAATGGTAGTCCAAACAATATTGAATTTTTAGGAAAGCTATTTCAATCAATTGCACAATGGTGCAACAATCTAGTAGATTTATCAATATTTTATAATGATGAAGTAAACCAGGAGTTAACAAAAGTATTCAATAATTGTATTAAATTAGAAAGTATTACATTTAGATTTATTTTTATGGATACATTAGATGGTGATAAAATACTCTCAGTACTAAATCAAACATTACCAAAAAAATTAAAGTCAATAACACTTCCTTGTATGTTTTCTACTATCAATGTCAAGTCTTTTGATAATCTAACGAAAAATTGGAGTGGACCTAAACCATTTACAATAAAGTTTAATGATTTTTGTAAATTAATGGATTAACTAAATTATTTAAATTATTGTAAATTTTATTATTTGATTTTAATTGATTGGGAAAAAAAAATAAATTAAAATTTTTTCTTTACATTAACAATGACTTTACCACTTGAACTTTTAACTGAAATATTTAAATACAATGATTATGATTATAAAACATTATATTCTTGCATTCTTGTCAATAAACAATGACACAATATTAATATTTTATTCTGAAAAAAGTACCAAAATAATAATTAATTGTTTGTTGGAAGAAGATAAGGATTTCTTAACAAGAAAAATACATGATTTTACTTTAAAAAAAAAGTTGTTGCACGAAATTTACTTGGTCTCAATTTCTTAAATGTATAACAAAATTCGGAATTTTCAAAATGCCAAGGCTCTGCCAATTTTCAGTTTAAGAAAAAACCATCTAATTAGTTTTGAAGCTTGAGTCATGAACAATAAAACTTATCGGTCAAATTTTTTAAAATGTTATAATTTTTTTTTGTTTTAGTATGGTTGGCTCGGTCTAAAGACTTCCTATTGCTGCGCCACGCGGCCAAATTTCAAAATATATACGGTGCAGATCATCTATAATCATTAATTGCTTATAGTAACAATTGGTCAACTTCAAAATACTAAAACAAAAA